TTTCGATAAATTTAACCAAGATTTCAAAATTTCACATGAAAAGATTCACATATTAATTTCTTTGATAACATATAATTTTTTTAAAATTACTTAAATGATAACAAACTTAGATGAATATCAACTCATTAAATTCCCCTTATTCAACACCTCAATTTAACTATAATTGAATATATCATTTAACCTTTCAATTGTTGCATCAAAATTTTTTTGACAACATTTTGAATGTTTCACCTAGGCTTCTAATTAAAAAACCTATAATATTAAATGTCTTGACATCTTATTTGTATTTTGATATTTCTATTTTTAATATGTTGATAATGATACATACATTTTAGTACTCAAGCAACGCTAAAAAATCTCTCTTATGACTATACTTCCATTTTTATAACTCCACAATGACTCTAATTCCAGTTACTTTCATGAGATTTAATTTAATATTTAAAGATATTTAGATGATTATGAGCACAAATAATAAAGAAACTTGACATTGAAGATTGAAAAAATAATCAACATAAAAATTTGTTGCCTGTTTTTTGAAAGGCGGAAGGCCCGGCTGGCTATAATCCATTGGGTTTTGATAGTTATGAATCATCCAGCCATTAATACCTTATAAATAGATCATATCACTGAATATATATTTCAAGTTTTAATGTATTATCCCGTAATGATATTTTTTTCTTGATTTTTGTTTAAAATTAATATTCTCTAGAGATTAATTCAAATTAATGAAACTAATGACAAGGAAAAGTTACCAAGTTACTTTGTTGATCCAAGACACACTAAAATCGCAGGAGCAAAGAATTAACATATAATGTGCTACATAAAATCGGTATTCTTTTTTATTTATTAATTTTGTTAAAGTACTTTTTCAATATTCTATTTGTAGCAATAAAAGATTTAATTGTTAGCATAGTCTCATTATTCTCTTTCAAAGTAAATGAACCAATTCTAATTTCTAATGAAATATTATGTCATTTTTTCTTCTTAGGCCCCGTTTGGGGCAGCTTATAGGTGCGACAGCGTTTTGAAAACGCCGCCTATGTGTTTGTTTCTCGCGGCTCCACCGCGTATTTGAAAACCGCATTTTTAAATTTATATTACACGGGATTGCAGGTCTATCCCCGCGATCCACGTTTTCCATCCTAGGTATTACTACGGTACCCCTCGAAACAGTCCGCTTTCGGCGCTCCTCTCCTCTTTCGTTCTTTCGGCGCTCCTCTCCTTCTCCTTGGCCGAAGTCGCTCCGCAAGTAAGGTTTCCTCCTCCGTCCGCTCTTCACATCATTCTCCTCTTTTGTTTCTTCTGGAATTTTCTTCTGTGGAAACTATCGGTGAATATGGAGATTTTTAGTAGATCCACTTTAGAGTCAATGAATATTTATTGTGGAAATGTAGATCCAGTAGTTTTTGGTGAATGTGGAGTTGAATATGGAGTTGAATGTGGGGGAAATGTAGATATGGGATTTTAAATTATTTTTTAACATATTATATGCTTGATCGATGATTTTGATTAATGTGGGGGATTTCCTTTTGTTGTTGTGGCTATGAAATATTTAAAACATCAGCAATCTTTCTCCTTCTGTGGAAAAATTTTGGAAATGTTTAATCCCTGCTTTTTTTCTCCGGCTGATCGATGCTAGTTTTTTATGAGGGGTGTCGATTTTGCAGTTTACTGATTGCTTTTGACCTTTTGGAGGTAACCTCTATGAACCTTCATGGGTTCAATCTTTCTGATAACTCATTCACTAGCATATATGTGCCTCATTTCCTAATCACATTTGATGTGCTAAAGGATAAGATTTCCATGCTTTTGACACCAATGCTTTTGAGCTTATGTGCTCTAGAAATGTCACTATTTAGGATCTTTGAGTTGATTCATGTCCTACTTCGTTTTGGAGTATTGTTTATTGTGAGGGAGGATTATCAATCTTCAATACATGCAATACAAAAGAATGAATTGCAGTTTATATGTTCAAATTGCTCATTTCAAATGAATCATAGTAGAATAATTATTATGATTTCCATAAAAAAAACATGTTATTGCACATACAATTTTTCTCTTGAGCACCATTAAATTCATGCTAGCTTGTTTATCTCACAGTCAAAATGAGTAAATTTAAAAAATCAGGAACAATGACGATGTGGGATAAAGAGACCACGTTGACATTTTGTGATCTTTGTCTGAGGGAAGTTGAGTTCGGTAATAGGCTGATAACTTTTTTCAATAAAGAATGTTGGCATAATATAACCGTTAAATGCAAGAAACTCACCGGACAATTAGATGAAAGTTAAAAATAAATGAGATCAATTAAAAAAAGATTGGAAAATTTGGAAAGAACTCAAGAGAGGATCGACAGGATTGGGTTGAGATCCATTTAAGCGGATAACAGATGCACCTGAAGAATGGCGGACTCAGAAGTTAGAGGTAAATACATACCTATATTTTTTTTTTGGCATTGATTGCATCTTTCTAAAGATTTTTACTAATGATTTATAATTTCTATTCTAGGTAGTGCCAGCAAATAAACAATTATGAATGATTTATTATGAGATATATTATTATATGGCTACTATGTCATTTGTTTGAGTTATATATATGCACTATTTAGGTAATGAAAGTTGGAGTCATAATCCTTTTGTCAAATGTTGTATGGAACACGATTAACAATTGGTTGCTTGATATCCTGAGAATTTTTTATTTTGTGCATTTTCCATGGTTGCTTGATATTCCTCTGAGAGTTATATGGATCCTGTTATTGGGTACTGTATGGAGATGCTTACTGTATGGAGATGCTTGGGTTGCATATATCAGATCTGCTTTAAGGTTAGCTTTGATTCCACAAAATTTCTAGCAGCTTGGATGGCGCAATTATTTAATGGCAGCCGCTACTATAAGAAATTTGGGTGACATAAACTTTCAAAAAAGGTTGAGCTGTTAGATATGTAAATAGATAGGAATTGGGTGGTATGCATGTAAATGCCTCTTTATTTGGCATTGTCGAAAACCTGCCCTGCTAACTACATTTTCCTTAGGATTTTCAACAAGGAAGCATTGGTATGAATTGTTTGTTACCTTAATGATACATGGATACAAATTTATAAATTTTATTTAGATAAAAATAGGGTAAAAAGATGGAGGATGCTTTTTTGCAGATAAAAATTTATCATTTTTAAATTTGGTTGTTAACAATCTAAATACAGATTTGGGTATTAATGTAGAGATCAATGCAGGTTTGGAATATACAAAGATATACAAACTGATGATATTAATGTAAATTTTATTTTATTATCTCTTGAGTCTTGACAGTACACTAAACATATTTTATTGAGATAATGGTGGAGCAGTTTGGACGACCACAAAAATTTGTTGTCGGCAACCGCTGCCTCCACACTTCGGTAAGTATATTATTTATATTTCCTCAAATTTTTGACTAATTTATTCTATTTTTAATAACTGCAGAACGATGAGTTCCAGACATTCATGGAAGTCCGAGAAAGTGATGTGTCGTTGCGGACTACCGTCCTTGCTACTCAACCGGACTACCGTCCTTGCTACTCACGTCACGCCAGACACATTGCTTCGGGAGGAAGTTTTATAGGTGCCCGCGATGGGGACAAGGACCGGAAGACTGCAAAATCTTCAGGTGCACTGACAGTGTAACTGTTTCTACGATATCCCAATTGGACACAGCTACTAGAGTTTGATAGTACCACAACGGGAGACCACCGCATATGGTTCAAGTTCTTCCGTTTCTACGGCATCCCAATCAGACAGGTTTGCTCTGGGTTTTGAGGTATCAAAATCGGGCAACGTTCGTCGTGATGTGCTTTTACATTTTAAAGTCAATATTGTCATATTTTTCCTTGTAATTTTAACATGTTATTTTTTCTTTTTTTTTAGGGTCATATTATAATCTATATTAGTGTGAAAATATATATTTCACTTTCGTATGTGTCACTGTGCTTATTTGATGTAATCAGAACTTTTTGAGTTATATAAATATTATTCAACTCTTTTACATTTTCACATTGTGTTATTTGAGAAAATAATAAATTCTGCTACACAGATTATTTATTTAACTAAAAGAATTTGCAAATAAACTGTTTACAAAAAGCACAAACCAAACAGCTAAACAGCTTATTCAGAACAGGGGCAGATTGATCATTTTTCCAGAATAAACTGTTTTCCTTACCCACAAATCAAACAACAAGACAACTTATCCGGATCAGCTTCTTATCAGCAGATTATCAAAATCAGCTGCTTATCAGCAGAAGCTGTATAAGCTGCAACTGTCCCAAACATACCTTTAAACTTAAATCTTAATTAGAAGTAATAATTTCATGAATTTTTTTTTATTCAATTATGTTAAAGTATCACCATTTGTATTAACAGTCGTAAAAGAAATTAATACCACACAACAAATAAGAAAATTATAATTATTAACATTAAAATGTATTTAACTGCCCCAATTATCGTAAACTATCATGATATAAAACTAGGGCTGTAAACGAGCTGACTAGGCTCGTGTTCGGTTCGTTCAAAATTGTTCGTGTTCGAAATCAGCTCCATTTAAATGTGTTCGGCTCGTTAAAATTGAACTGAAAAATTAGATGTAGAGTACTGAATTCGAACCTGGACCAAATATATGAAAAAGAAGACGTATAACAATTTTACCACATGAGCATTTATATTTTAAACTTATATATAAATATATATAATATATTATTATATAAATAATTATATATATATTTTTTTATTTCGGGCTAAAACGAGTCGAACACGAACAAAGAACTATTCTTGTTTAGCTCATTTATAATTTGAATTTTAAAAATTTGTTCGTGTTTGGCTCATTTACTTAACTAACGAGCCGAACACGAGCTACTTAATGAAACGAGCCGAACACGAGTTATTCACAAATAATAATTTTTTTTGGCAGCCCTATATAAAACTCGTATCATAGCACATTCACCAAAGAATTCCAATTAACACATTATAAAACTAGGTAATCCATATAAAGCCTCATAGCCAAATCCATGACCAGACAAACTAAAGCACGTTTTCTTCCTTCATTCTAAACATACATACCAAGCATATAATCAGCAGTTATTAGACCATGCATCCACTCAGAGCTCCACCTTCTTCCCAACATCCCTTACGCCGCCCAAACTCTCCTTCTCCAAATCGCCGCCGAGTATATTCACCGTCCGAGGACCCTTCACCTTGTCCAGCGCAAGCTTGGGCAGTGTCACGGTAAGCACGCCATCCTCCAACTTCGCTTTCACAGCGTCAAGTTCAACGTTTTCCGGCACCCTGAACTGACGCCAGAACCTCTCGGCTCGTTCAACACGATGCCATTTCTCCCCCCTCTTCTCTTCCTCCCTCTTCCTCTCGCCACTGACTCGTAACACACGATTCTCATCTAGAACTTCGATTTTAAGCTCGTCTTTCTTCATGCCAGGGACGTCGATGGAGATTTCATGGGCTTCTGCTGTTTCCTTCCAGTTCACGGTCGCGGTAGTCGGATAGAACGGTGTGGCTAAATCGCCCCGTTCCAGCTCGAACGGAATGTGTTCGAGGACGCGGAACGGGTCTAGAAGTCGTTCTGTGACGGGGTCTAGTGATTGAAGTAGAGAAGCTGAAGATAGTATTGTGGTTGAGAGGAGGAGAAGGGCGAGGGCCGAGAAGGTGGAGGTGGAGCTGATCATGGTTGAGTTTGTGTTGAAGTTTTGCTTCATGCACTTGTGTTGGACATGGGGATGGGTGGAAGGGGATTGTTGTATATAGGGTCTTTCGGAAGCGGATTCAGCGCGAGATGACGAGAAGGTTCCAGCTAGCTGTGGGAGATGGGGAAAGCTCGGGAGTATTCGTGAGGCTTCATGTTGGCTCTGGTTAGGCGGAAATGATTATTATTTGTTTGGGGGAAACTCAGTTTTAATTAAGCCACAGGCAAATTTGAGTAATTCAATGGTGACGAAAATACGGGCCAAGTCCATCATAATCAACATATACATAATAATATTATTTTTATATTAATAGTGATAGTAGGTTTTCTTACATAATTTTTTTTGTATAAATTTATGCTCAAAATGTGCTAAATATAAATATATTAATTTAAATGAAATATATA